CTCTCTCTCTCTCTCTCTCTCTCTCTCTGACTCTGTCCACGCCTTCGAGCCAATCTCTCTGCTTCTTTTTCACGTCAAACGTTTTCGTCCCAGCTGTACTTAACGAAAGTCTTACAGATGATGTTATATCGACCTTTCTCTTCTTCTGTTGCTCTATCTTGCCTATTCTGTAATTTTGTTTAACCACCTACGTATTTTTTCTGAGGCATAGATTTTTGAAAGAAGCTCACCCAATTTATAAATGTCGAGTGCTATCGATCTCGTGCGATTCCAATTTTCGAAATTAGAAAGTTTTTTATCTGCTGCCAATGCTGTGGAAAGACATTCCCTTTAAGCTAAAAACTATTAAAGTATTAAAGTAAGTTAATGCTATAGAATTTCAGTTTAACTCTGTACCAACTTAAGGATTATAAAACTAGAGTTCAATTTCCAAATGATTTACGAGAAAACAAGAAAAAATGATTTAGTTCAAGAAAGCATCAAACTCACGATTTGACACAAAGATAAACACTGATACTAATAATAGGCCTTACTGATATGTGTGCTAGGTTTTGTTTCCTATATTTTTACAGGGAATGGGTGGTTGGCGGATGCTATGGTGTGGTTTTCTCCTTCTCTCCTACAAAACATCTATCGTCTTCTTTCTTTTTTTTTTGTATGTTACCCTCTAGTAGCACATCTTATCTGTGACACTTATAAATCTGACCTATTTGTTTTGCAAGTGCCGTAAAAACTTTTAGTAAAAGTAAATAACCCCTCCCCCCCATAAAAAAATCTCCACAGCGAGACTGGAAGCCGCCAAAGCCTCCAGCAGGAACGGATCCCGAGAAACACTGACGTCAGACACAGACCAGACTGACCTAGATTCCACAGGCGGCGATGCCAACGACAACAACAGGGCACGCCCACCCCCTGCCTACAGTGACGTCATGCGCACGTTCACCAGGTGTCACTCCTGTGACGTAGCAGGCTCGTCCACCCGCGTGATGCGGGCAGACTTTGACGTTATAGGAATGTTGGCCAGACAACACAGTGAGGGGAGTCAAATGGGAGGCGGGCTGCCTCCTTTGGTCGACGTGGCGGCGCTGCTGGCCAGACACAGACAGGAGGCGGAGCAGATGCAGAACTCGTCCTCCTTACCTCCGCTCATGTCCACGGATGTGTTGGAGAGTAAGCTTCCGACTTACGAGGAGTGTGTAGTCACCCGAAGATCTGAGCCGGGAGGGGCTTGTGAATATTCTATACGAGAAAATTTTGTTCGTAGTAAAGAACTAGACGAGGCGCAGTACCGGCTAGAGCAGTGTTCAGATGGAGCTGGTGAAGAAACAGAAGAGTCGGTGCGAAACGTGGAAGATGGTGCAGTAGAGTCAGAAGATATAGGAAGTCCAAAACTCGCGAGTGACGTCACCACAAGTGATACAGCAGAAAGGGAATTAGACGTTGTTCGAGAGAGAGAGGCCGAGGAACCAGCAGCAGTACAAAGCTGCCAACATGAAAATGAGGGCGAACGTATTCGTTCTCAATCTGATCAAAACTCGAATGAACAAACGAATGAAAGCGATGCTGTGACTGTGTCAACCCAGAAAGAAGGAGAGAATGATTCTGTCGAAGACAACCCTTCTCAGACTGCTCAGGGTACAGACGACAGTGATACAAATACAAAATCGATCGCTGAAGAAAATAACAACGATGAAAGTGACGACGTCTCAACTTCTGATGATGTTCCAAAAGATACCGAAGAAAGTACGAGTGAAAAAGATATTAAAGACAATGGTGTGGACAAGTCACCAGCCTTAGACTCAGCCAACCTGCATCATTCAAACCATGGGGAGCCTGGGGAACTCTCTAGTCCAGAGGGTAAAGCGATTCCGAATTCCCTTGAAACCGATCAGAACGAGATTAAATGTGACGACACGTCAATGGCTGCCGTTTCTATGGCGATGGAGACGTCAGAAAACCAAGCAAAGGACGACTCAGATGAATCTGAGAACAAAATCTAACAATAAGTCCTCTTGTATCGATGAGCTGAGGGTTCTGTAAGGTGAAACGTTGAGTTAAAAGAGACAGGAGGTCTTGATCCAGGTATTGTTAAGAGAACTGTGGACAAGTGTGATATAGGACATTTTGTGAAGGGTGATGAAGAAATTGTTCTAGAGACCTTTGGTGACCTCATGCAAAAACTGTCGGGGTGTGGTGACAGTATTCGGTTATTGTTCGCACATTTCTAGACCTTGAATCTTACTTCAGGGCTGTTATTGTTGTTGATGTTGTTGTTGTTGTTGTTGTTGTTGTTGTATGTTTGTTTGTTTACCTGTTAGTTTTTTAAATGTTCAAAGACGCTCTCGATGCAAGAGAGGTTTACTTGCAAACTACAACACAAACAGGCGATGACGTGGTGGTTGGTTTTCAAAAGTTGGAACGAGACTGAAGAACGGGACAAGAAATGAGCAAAATATTTTGCATATCTACGTTCATGTGCGTCTTTTGCATACGCTTTACCAAACATTTGGATTAAATGCATTATATGAGACACATACTGGCATATTTTTATGTAATTGATTTTTTTTTCCTTTTCTGACTTCGTTTATCGGCGCGTTCAGATGTGGTGACAAAGTTTCATCGAGTAGTTACCTCCATACTGAATGCATGTGCTCGTACCATCAGCTGTATTGGAGAAATATTCAGCCCCGTCAACTTTGTATAAGAAATATTCATGTTATGCATTATGGCAGAATACCAAAAACTGGCTTCTTTTGGTGTCACAGTTGAGCACTTTGCCGTAGCATACAGAAGAACGAGTTCGGTTTTTGTGTTGAGAGAATTTCTATCGAGTGTCTCGGTCTTTCTGCTGGGACGTTGTATCCGTCTCATCCCTGATTGGCCTCGACCAGCAGGGTCGAACTCCGCCTCCTAAAAGAACTGAAAGAGTGTCAGTGGGGGGGGGGGGGGCATCAACACCTACATTTTTTTAAAAACACATTGAATGCTGCATTCCAGTCTGGAAAAAAGCAAGACACTGTGATTATGAATGTTGCCTTTGGCACATGAAGACAAGTTGACAGACAGAGAACTCGATATAAGATAAAGTTCCCCACTTGGGAATCGAGCTCAGGTCTACTGCGTTGAAGATGCTGTTTCCCCTTGAGACCCTCTGAAGACAACGGATACACTATGTGTCTGGACTCTCGAGCTGTAACAGATTTCACTCTTTTTATCTTTTTTTTCCATAAAATACATGTCTCCAATTCTCTGGTTCCCGCCTCATGTAACTAATAGTTTTGTTTAGGGTGTTAAATCTGTAACATTCCCTGGTTCTTCAAAACATACTCTCATTTCCCCAAATAGTACCTTCTTAATCAAACTATTCGTTTCGTTTTGAGTTGAGTAATATGAGACGAATCGAAAAACGCTGATGTTTTTTCTTTCGTTGGATTCCAAAAAGTTAAGGTTTTTGTATAACATCACTGTCGTCTTTTGTCGACATTCTTAGAAAGAATGGGTGTTTTCAGTGAGCTTTTAAAAATATATTATATTGTCATTTAGTCATAATAAGCCGACCTTAGCATTTTCATTTCCGGGAGAAATTCCATTTTCATTCAAAAAAGCATGTTAGTTCACCAACAGAATCTGCATAATTTGTTTGTTTTTGTTGGGTTTTTTGTTTGTTTTTTGTTTTTGAGGGGTTGTTGTTTTATTTGTATTTTTTGTTTGTTTATTTTTTTTTTCTTTCTAATTTTATGCTTTGGTGGTATATTTACCACGCGTTAGTTTTATTTATATACCCGAAGGTTAGAAGCATAATATTAATATATTCATAATGTGTTAGTTTCATTTATTTCGTTTGCACTCTTCTTACTTTCGCACTTTTTTCCACCCCTGATTTTGTCTATGCACCGTTTATTTCATTCAGTTCGGCTTGTTTTCATCAACTGTTTTATCATACCCACTGAGTTTATAATTATGTGTTGCTTACAGCGATGTTGCACTTACGAACAATGATTCTGAAATGTAGATTCACTTACCGGTCGTGTTCAACATTGTTGTTTTTTTATGTCAAGACATAAAGCCGAGGTGAAAATATTCTATCAAGCTCTGGGAAAATTTCCAACACCGTTTTGATTTGAACCCACACCTTCTGGTTTTAGGTCTCGTTAGAAATCATTTGGAGCCCATTTGGAGGTCACCAATTCATGTGTATGAATAGTTAATGTTTTGGGTATTCTGTGTATATGCGTGTTGTGTGTGTTTGTGTATATGTGTGTATGTGAGAGAGAGAGGGGGGGGGAATAGATAAACATATATA